AGAGAGAGAGAGAGAGAGAGAGAGAGAGAGAGAGAAACTCAATAGCGTCATATTTTAAGGATCAAGGATTTCATCCAGCTCTGCCTATCCACAGTTCTGTGATCCAGCTGGAGGGAAGTTGATTAATATTAGAGGCACTTTTTCTGATAGGAACATGGGCTTGGGGCCAGGCATGGTGGCTCATGCCTATAATCCCAGCACTTGGGAAGGCTGAAGGGGAGAGATCACTTGAGCCCAAGGGCTAGAGACAATCTGGGCAATACAGTGAGACCTCCTCTCCACACACACAAAAACAGTTTGCTGGATGTGGTGGTACGCACCTGTAGTCCCGGCTACTTGGGAGGATAAAACAGAAGGATCACCTGTGAACCCAGAGGTTGAGACTGTAATGAGACAGAATTGCATCACGCGTTTTAGCCTGAATGACAGAGTGAGACACCATGGCAGAAAAAAAGAAAAGAAAAGAAAAAGAACATGGACTGGGGAATTCTCATTCCTGGAATTCCTGAAGAGAGAAAAATGCCTCCTACTCTCTTCTAGGTTCATAGATAATAAACAGCAGAAACAGACCAGGCATGGTGGTTCACACCTGTAATCCTAACACTTTGGGAGAACGAGGCAAGAAGACTGCTTAAACTCAGTTCAAGACCAACCTAGGCAACTTAGTGACATCATGTCTCTACAAAAATAAATAAAAAAATTAACTGGGCGTGGTCACGCGTGCCTGTAGTTCCAAGTATTTGGGAGGTTGAGATAGAAGGATTACCTGAACCCAGGAGGTTGAGGCTGCAGTGAGGTTGAGGCTGCGTGATTGTGTCACTGCACTTCAACCTGGCAACAGGGTGAGACTAAAACACACACATCAAAAAAGCAGAGAAAAAAGTTTAACTACATACGTATGAATATGAATGGGAGTTTCACAAAAATATAAGACTCGAGGAGGGAGCCAGATGATTGAGACATGTCATCCTGAACTACAGAAAGAAATACAGGTTTGAGGCTACTGGGAGGTGAGGAGGCAAGTTAAAGAAAGGTAAGGAGGCCTGGCTTAGTGGCTCACACCTGTAATTCCAGCGCTTTGGGAGGCCCAGGCAGGAGGATTGCTTGAGCTCAGCAGTTTGAGACCAGCCTGGCCAACAAAGGGAGAACTTGTCTCTACAAAAATAAACAAATTAACTGAGTGTGGAGACACATAACTGTAGGCCGAGCTACTCAGGAGGCTGAGGCAAGAGGTTCACTTGAGCCCAGGAGTTTGAAGCTACCGTGAGCTATGATTGTGCTACTGCACCTCAGCCTGGACAACATAGCAAAACTCTGTGGCAAAAAAAAAAAAAAAAAAAAAGGCAAGGGAGGAAATATAAGGTCAATAAAAATTGCCTTGTTTTGCTGGTCTCTCAGGCAATTAAAATTGTTCCTAGGAGTATCTGTCTTCCTAGTCCGTTTAGATACCTTTACTAATGGAAATTTCTTTTATAAATGCAAATTTCCTTTACATAGAGAAATTTATGTTGTATTTTAGGCCATTGAGGAAGAAGTAAAAGCTTTCTCTGCTTCTGCTGGTTCTTGATTGCCTTTAGCCCACCATAATCCATAGGCCTAAATGGCATATTTCGGGGTGGCGTGCTTTGAGTCTCTGTAACTCATTCAATAAATAATTTTCTTTTTGAGTTAGAGTCTCACTCCGTTACCCAGGCTGGAAAGCAGTGGCACGCTCGTGGCTACCCCAGCGTCCACCTGCTGGGCTCAGGCGATTCTTCCACCTCAGCCTTTCAAGCAGCTGGAACTATAGGCACATGCTACCACGCCCGGATAATTTTTTTGATTGATTGTAGAGATGAGGTCTTGCCAAGTTGCCCAGGCTGTGGGCTCAGGCAATCCCCTCAACTTGGCCCCCTAAAGTGTTGGGATTACAGACTTGAGCTACTATACCCGGCCTAAGAAATAATTTTTGAGTATACATATGACACCCCCTTTAAATTCTCTTTTGTCTTGGTATGTTTGACTTTACCAGGTCTGTCTGTTTAGCACTTTGTTCTGAGCCCCAAGCAATTTAAATATAAATATAACTCTAATCTCTGTGGAATTATTTGGATTATATTAAACACAATAATCTTTAAGTGTCACATTTAATTATTAAATGTTTATTTATTTATTTATTGAGTCGGGGTCTCACTCTATCACCCAGGCTGGAGTGCAGTGGCATGCTCATGGCCACTGCAGCCTCCACCTGCTGGGCTCAGGCAGTCCTTCCACCTCAACCTTTCAAGTAGCTGGAACCACAGGTACGTGCCACCACGCTCAGCTGATTTTTTTTGTTTTATTTTATTTTATTTTTTATTTCATTTTTTTTGAATTGAAGTCTCACTCTGTCACCCAGGCTAGAGAGCAGCGGTACACTTACGACCACCACAGCCTGGATTTGCTGGACTCAGCAGTTCCTTCCACCTCAGCCTTCCGAGTAATTGGAACCACAGATGTGTGCCACCACACCTGGCTTAATTTTTTATTTATTGTAGAGATGAGGTCTCACCAAGTTGCCCAGGCTGGTCTCAAACCTGTGGGCTCAGGCAGTTTTCTCATCTTGGCCTCCCAAAGTACTGGGATTATAAGCATGAGCCACAATGCCCAGCCTGATTTTTTTGTTTAATTGTAGAGGTGAGATCTTGCCGTGTTGCTCAGGTTGATCTCAAATCCCTGAGCTCAGGCTATCCTCTCACCTCTGCCTCACAAATTGCTGATATTACAGGCATGAGCCACCATGCCCGACCAATTATTAAATATTTAAATGCACTTAGACCAAGAGTCATTCAAATAAAAAAAGAGCGCCATTTGGAAATGTCCTTATCTTGTGAAGAGGAAATAATGGGAGAAAATCAACATATCAAGGAGGGGAAAGCCCCTAAAATCATGAATCAACAACATTCATAATAAATCATTCAATACAGACATATAAAAAAATAAAGAATATGAAGAAAAGAAGAGAATGTTAGGAAAACATAAGGTATCTAAAAAAAACCTGCTCCTCCAAAGACTTCAGTGGAAAGTAAATATCATTTTAATACCATAAATGTGCATCACACTGCCAGTAATAGTCATCAATGCTGAAAAATAATGTATCCCACACTATAATGTCAAACTCTGAAAATTCATCTGAAATGTTTATTAATACAATTTACCCATACATCTTTGGATAAAATTTTCAGGTTTTTAATTTATTTTAGAAGTCCACTATAATGGTGATATCTGGCTTTGGCTCAATATTGATAAACACCTGGTCAATCTCATTCAGCCAAAATTGCGTTTTGATACTTTACTAAATATACAGCTAAAACCTGTCCAAAATGTAACTCTTAGGCTCATTCTATTCCTAATAC